AATCCCTAGTTTCCTCCATTAACCCACTAGATCCACTGCCAGCTGCTTCTAAGAAGGCATCAGCAGTTGACTGAAGAGCCATGAACTCTTCCTTGGACCTTTCCCAGTTCATATTTGTTGGGGGGTGAGCATCATGCTTTCACAACTGGGATCAAAACAGGAGCTGTGTCTACTAGTCAATGAAGCCTTGCCACTTCTAGGACTTCCTCAACCCAATAAAAGTAAGTAGCAGCCCTGATCTCTAGCTACCTGCACCCATGGCTGTAAGAGCCATTCTCTCCTCTTGCACCAAGCCAAGAGCAGAGCACGGCAGAGGACCTCACCACCCCTTTTCCAAACCACTAGACCCTATGACTTCCTTCTCAAAGTTGGGCACAGATCCGTTTCCCTGCAGAGAACACAAAGACCTGCCACTGGTCACATCAGCTCCTACCTTCTTGATGTTGTACATGCGAACAAGGACCCCCTTGCCCCTCTCATTGAGGATGGTCAGCTTCTCCGCAAACTTGTGCTGATACACGGAGGGAAGAGACATCTCCCTGTTGAATTCTCAGTGCCCTCTCAGTCTTCACTTGAAGCAAAACCTCAAAACTAGAGGCGCAATACAGTGCCGTGATCTCTTCAAGGGGAAAATTTAAAAGGGGGGGCAAGAGATCTGGGTGCCATGCAGTGGCCACACCCAGCAACACAAGCTGCAGAGGGCCTGGGTTGCTGCCTTCGCACTGGGGCCGGCAGCTGCACACAAGCTTGTCTCCTGACACTTCCCCCTTGAGAAGCGATGAACGCTGTTTCCCTTTTGGGGCTGAGACTTCCTGTGGCTGGAGCGCTTAAGAAGCACAGCAGCTCTGTTGCAAAGCAGATCTGCAGATCATGCTAGTTTTGTTCTGTGGAAGCAGACCTCTTCCTGCTAGACAGTTAACTCTGCTGCTTCTGCCAAACCACACCTATTGTAAAATTAAAACTACCCTATTTTCTCCTGGTGCCTTTTTCAAGCTGGACAGCGAATAAAATTATGGAGGTGAAGCTTGTTAACGGAGAAATCTGAGGGCTCCCTTGGACAAAAAACAAGGACCCCAGCCAGGAATACCAGAGCAAAACAGCAGCCAGTAGGCTTGGTCTTTATTGAAGACTGTCGCGACGGGACTCCCACCTGCCACCAGGTGGAACAAGATGGAAGCCCAGAACAAAAAAGACCCCAACTTTTATTAGTTGCTAATCCCCCAAACTACACCCCTGAAACTACACAACTGCATCACTGATACATCACAAAAAGGAGGGGTTGCGGGAGGAGTTTGTGGAGGTAACCTGAGTATCTTGTCACCTGGCTGGTTCCTCCTTTCCCCCTCCCCATGAGTACTTTCCAGAGGACAAAGGGAGGTGGCAGTTTTCTGCCCCAGAGGGAAGAGCTGATCATTGTCCTTTGTTCCATTCGAGTTGAATCCACTCCCATATGCAAGTTCTTTGTGTCCTTGATGGTCTTCTGTCTAGGACCATCAAGCTTGGCATGCCAATCGGACAGGGCTCCTGCGTACATGTTGGTACGCTCAAGGGATTATGGCCGTGCTGGCTCAAACCATCCCCTTTTGATAGTCCTTCCTTCATGGAGCAAAATAAAAGTGAAACGGTGTAGATCGGATGTACGGGTGATTTTCTATGAATTTATAACAGAAACATCGTGTATGTCATGTGTGAGTGTTGAGTTTGTACAAACTAAATGATTGGGGTGGGTTCCTGCAACAAGCTGCTGAAATTCTGTCCATTGAGTAGCTGTTAAATACCACCAGACAAAAAAACAGAACAGCAATTACCCTGCTCTTACACACACACACACACACACACACACACCACCTTTTTGGGAAGTAGTTAAGGGCACTCACTATGAGAGTTACACCATTTTACGTTTAGATGTATTCCACCTTTCCTCCACGGGTGGCGCTGTGGGTAAAACCTCAGTGCCTAGGACTTGCTGATCGTAAGGTCGGCGGTTCGAATCCCCGCAGCGGGGTACGCTCCCGTCGTTCGGTCCCAGCGCCTGCCAACCTAGCAGTTCGAAAGCACCCCTAAGTGCAAGTAGATAAATAGGTACCGCTTTATAGCGGGAAGGTAAACGGTGTTTCCGTGTGCGGCACTGGTGCCGGCTCGCCAGAGCAGCTTTGTCACGCTGGCCACGTGACCCGGAAGTGTCTTCGGACGGTGCCGGCTCCCGGCCTCTTAAGTGAGATGAGCGCACAACCCCAGAGTCGGTCACGACTGGCCCGTACGGGCAGGGGTACCTTTACCTTTACCTTTCCTCCAAGGCACTCAAGGGTGGGCAGTTGTTGCTATTATTTACCGTATTGGCCCGAATATAAGCCACACCCAAATATAAGCCACACCTTTAAAATTCAAGTGGGGGGGGGGGAAATAAACTAGCCAGGAGAACCATGTGCACCACCTTGAGCTCCTTGGTGGTATATAAATGTAAAAATAAATTAATGAATTCCGTTACACCACACACACTAGTCAAACAGGAAACGATAAAAGATTGCCTTTTATCACCAGGTCACAAACATTAGCTAACGGGTTCCATCTGGCATTTCAAACCAGGGTGAATAAAAATCAATGATTTTGTAAAAATAATTTTAAAAAATAGATTTTTTAAAATTTAAATCGGATTTTAAAAAAATAAAATAAAATGCTTTTGGAGGAAAAATCTTTCTAAAGATAGTTTTCTATTTAAGTTACCAGTAAGTGTGAAGCAGTAAAAATGAAAGTGCAAACCTTGTGAGCAGAATACTCCGCAAGTCTTGGGGTCCTTGTGTAACGATTGTGCAAGTCAGTTGCATGTCTGTGCAACTCGGACTTGAGGCAAGTGCTGAAGGCTCTTCAGGGCTGGCAACCTCTCCCCAATCCCACCAGGTCCCAACAACTGCACTGACCCTTAACTGTACAGAATAGGCGCCTGAATGTAGAAGCAAATCCAAAGGGTGGAGGAGGAGGAGGAATTAGTAAGAGGGATCTGGAAGTCCTTGGCGAGACCTTGAAGTGCTTGCCAATCAACTAATAAGAGTTCACTGGTTCCGGGCCCTTCTTCCCAGGGCTCGCCTGACATTCTCCAAACAATAAAGTCTCTACCTGGAACTTCAGTCCTGACGTTCTCTGCTCCAGTCCTCGGTTCCCCTTTTCCAGCTTTCCACCAGCCTGTTTCTCCTCAGCCTGCTCTTTCTGCAAGCCTCTTCCAGCCCAGGCCTACCAACTGTATCTCTCCCCCCCCCCCGCCCCTCCAGAAAAAGTACAGCAGAAAAGCTGTCCAAATATACAGTAATACCTCTGCAAACGTCCGCCTTGTCTAGCGTCCATTCCAGCAAATGTCCACAGCAAACCCAGAAGTACCGGAACAGGTTACTTCCGGGTTTGCAGCTCACACATGCACAAACACGCTAAATTGCGCTTTGCGCATGTGCAGACACACAAGCCGCTCCATGCACCTGCACAGACACAGCGCTTTGCCCTGCGTCCTTTTTGGCTAGCAGCTGGGGCTCCGGAACAGATCCCGGCTGCAAAACAAGGTATGACTGTAAACAGTTAACTTATTAAGCCTCACACTAATGTATTTCTAATGGTAAAACCAAATCAGTAATTTTTGATATAACTGTAAAAACTACTCTGAAAATTTATTGTTCCAAAAATGAAACCTTATACCAGCAAGAATGAGTCTTTCTGTAAAAAAAAAAAAAATTAAATCAAGTCTTACTGACTAGTGATTTAAATAGATTTTATTTAAATCAAATCCACTGTTTCAAACGGCAAATAACATGGTAACTGTTGGGGAAGGAGGAAAGAACTCATATTTCTGCTATCAAGCATGGTGGTTTATTTTCTGAGGAAATATACCATATTTTCCCGTGTATAACACGCCCCCATGTGACTTTGTGGGACTCAAAATTTAAAATTTAAGAAAAGGGGGGGCCTCCAAAGTTGTTCAGCTTTTTTTAGGGGAGAAATGCCAAAAAAATGCTCCGACGACAGACCAACAATGCCACTTGCACACATCGACAAGGCAAACTATCCTCTGTCCCCACCCCAACAAAAGTAGCAAATCACCCACCAAATTGCCGCAAGGACAGCAAATCAACACCAGCCCCTGCCACAGCCACAGCTACCAATAACAATCTCTGACTCACAGCAGCAACCAATCCCATGTTCCCACAATGCACTACCCATGTATGATGACCCCAAATTTTGAACATGATTTTTGAATTAAAAGAATAGTCTTACACATGGAAAAGTACAGAAGTCTTCTATCTGACTAATGTGCCAGTTCCCACCAACTGGCAAGGCACGGCTGCCCAAGGTTGTAGCTTGGAATGGCAAGTATGCAGATCCATGTGCATAAACTACTGCTCTCTCTTAATGAGAGGAGAGGGCCAAGGCCATGCGAATTCCCTTCCCTCCTGACAAGACTTGCCTTTAGAGAAAGAGTGAAATCTATCAGGTATCTATGGCTTTAATAGGCACCTTAGTAACAATGATGTCACAAAGTTCTTCAGAAAGCCACCATCCCATTGGCTGGATTTACAGTTAAACAGCAGGGTAAATTGAAAGCTGAGTGACTTTGGATTCAGCAGCTGTTGAAGCCAGACTCTTTGATTTGGCCAGCCCCACTTATCTCAAAGCCCGCCAGCTGCAGACAAGGCAAGTGCTTCCATTTATTATCAGATAATGGACTGGGGTGTAGAAAAGGCTATCAACAAATGTGAGTCGAAAGTAAGGTGCTCTTAATTTGTGTTTGCGGAGGTAAGCTGAAAGATTTGGTATTTATCTATCTTCTATCCGGGAACCCAAAGTGCTGTGCATGTGCTTCCTATGGTATACCCTCTCTTACCTAGGGAATGACTTGACGCAGCACTGCTTAGCTTTCAAACTGCACCTTGGGACACTGTATGTGGTAAGGCTTTCTGGTTGTGTTTAATTTTGTATAATTTTAATTGTGGGAGATTATCCTGGGACTGCGAGGGGACCTGATGGGGTGAATCAATTGAGATTCAAGGACATGACTAACATGGGCCTTCAGTGGGTCTAACCTTAATTTGGAGACAACCCCGTGAGTTTAAAATATTCATATAGAGAAGAAAAGTAATTCATTACTATGGTTAGTGTTTAACCAGAGATGATGGCAGGATGTTTGATAGCGCGGAGAGGATTGCTAGCATTATTTATTTCTGCTGTTGAGTTGGGGGATTCCAATGCTGAAGGAGCCAGGCAAGTTTCTAGGTCAGTTAAGGGGCCCAAAGTACAATTTTGAAGCTGGTTAGTAGCTCCTTATTTGTGCAAGTTCAAAATGGAGCACAATCAGAAAACTTAACAAGGAACCAAGAGTTTATAAGCCTCTAATCCGAAAAACAGAAGTTAATTCTACCCCCTGGGAGTGAGAACTTTTTTTTAGCCCCCAGGCCAGATTCCTTTGGGCTGCATTCCAGGGGTGGGTGGCCAAAGGCAAAAAAGCAGGTACAGTGTTAAAGGTTACTTTTCTCTCTGTCTAGTAAACTAGTTTATTCACACTTGCGCGCCTCTCTCTACCCTCCATGCAGCAAGCAAGAAGCATTCAGACTTCCAAGGGCACATTCCAGCCAGGAACAAGCACTAAAGGAGGCCACAAGCAGGGCTGGGTGTGGGTGTGGGATGTGTGGGTGGGTGTCACACACATCTGTGAACATTTTACAAAAGAAAAAAAGAGTTTTATCAGAGAGCATTGTTAATCTTGAAGTGATCAATCTGCCAAAGATATAATATGTGGTAGGTCAAAGCTGGGATTCAGGAGCACGCAACTACCACTCAAAAAAATCTGAACTAGTCTGTAAAATCTTCGGTTTGTGGTTAAACCATGGGGCCAGCATGTTTTTAGCTGCTTGGTTGAACAAATTAAAAAGCTGAATAATTAATGTGACTATTGCACAGGAACATTACAATTAATGTATGTTTACTCAGAAATCACATTGCATTCAGCAGACTGTACTCCCAGGTTAAGTGTCAATAGGATTGCAGTTTGCAGAACCCTGAAATATTTTGTAGCATTTATTAAGCCACTTTGGGGCACTAGTGCTGGAAAGCCAGGATTAATATTTACTGAAGAAACATCCCACAAAAGTCATTGGGGTAAAGGCTCTGAATATTTGATGTGCTTCTTGCCTTGATGCATCTGAGGAAGTCGGCTGTAGTCCGAGGAAGTTACGCCATAATAAATTGGTTAGTCTTTAAGGTGCCACAGAACTCCTTATTTTGTTTTGTTGTTTTGCTGTAAGGGTACTCCTGGCAGTCCTTGCCTCAGTGACTTCAAAAGATCTTGGCTGCCTTCTGAAGTAGGCTTTCTAGTAGTCTGGGAGGGGAATTCTCATCAGGATTTCTCTGCCACTATTGCTTGAGAATGTTTCCTGCTGAGCAGAATTGTCCTGCCCAGTGGGATGCCCAGACTGTGTTTTCAGAGTAACTTATAAATCCTCCTTGTCCAAGGACAAGTAATTAGCAAATACTTTGTTATCTGGAGATTGCTGCCCTAACTGTGTGATCTCAACACATAGCAACAATAGCTGACTTTTGCTACTGAAAGTAATGCTGGGACCTCCTGTCACATTAGTATAACTCCAACAGGCCTTATATAGTCATTCTCATTCTCATTCTCTCTCTCTCTCTCTCTCTCTCTCTCTCTCTCTCACACACACACACACACACACACACACACACACACGAACACACACACTTTATTTTTAGCTACTGCATTGTAGTCCCGACATCCCTCCATAGACAGTGAGGCAGCACACATTCTTCTCCCCCACAACCCCCTGCAGTAATCCTGTGAGAGTAGGTACGCTGAGTGTGTTGGTGCCAGGTTGGGGGGGGGGCTTTTGGGTACAAACTCCCTCCCATAGCCTGTCTACCTCCTTGCTGAAAAGCATAAAGAGGAAGCCCATATCACCAGGATGGTGAAAGCCAAAGCAGACTGTGAGCAGCTCCAAAGTAATTTCTTCCAGCTAGGTGAATGGGAAATAAAATGGCAGAGGATGTTGCGTGTCACTTACCACGATGTCACTTTACTCTTTAAAAGGCAACCCCAAATTTCCTTCTAACAGCAATGACACAGACCTTAAAACAAGGGGTCATCATTGAGCTATCAACAGTGTGTACTGCAATGGCAAAAGCAAAATCCATGCTTTGTAAGGGGGAGTATTGGGGAAAGTATTGAAAATAAATCTGACGGGACTGTAATGCCTACTATGCTAAAATATGATAATTATTATTGTATTGCTCTGTACTGTGAGGTTGGTGCATTCCCGAAAGGGCACAACACAGCTGGGGAAAATGCCAGAAAGGGGCCAATCAAAATGATAGTGCAGATGCTTATGGGGAAAGGCTATATTGTTTGAAGATACTTTCTTTAGAAAATAGGACATATAGTGGAGGCTTGAGTTATGAATGGTAGCAGAATGGTTGGCAAACTTATTCCCTTGCATAACACTAGAAGTTGCCCAATTAAACTGGAGTGACAAAGGTATTTTTCACAACACATAATGAATAAGGATATCATTGCCAAATGTGATGGTTTTATAAATGGGACTAGACAAACAGAAGTGTACCTAGGGTCCCTTGTGCCCTTGGTAAAGAGCTGTATCAATACCGCCCCCCAAAAAAACTTTACTGTATGCCTTTGTGCTGTGGTGCAAGGATGGGAAACTGCTTCTGCGTTTGATCTCCCCATGATAGCAGTGGCATGTTGCCATATATGTCATACACTCCATAGTGATAGGTGAATTTGGTGGGTCCCCCCCCCAGCCTGTGCCCCTAGTGGAAGCCAGTTTATCCACCCACTAGGTACACCTCTGTACATTCTTACAGAGGACTAGTGGGTCAACAGCATTGGCATCAATATAAATGTAATCTCCAAATCTTTTAAACAATGATTCCTCCGAAAACTTTGAGGGGAAGGGGCAGCTAAGAATGGAGGGCTGTTTGCCTTCATATCCTGGCGGTTGATTTTGAATCTGGCTATCAACTGCTAGAAATGGGATGATGATGATGATAATAATAATAATAATAATAATAATAATAATAATAATAATAATAATAAATTTATTTATACCCCATCCATCTGGTATAAATGGGCTAGACTAGGTTGACATCTGGTATAAATGGGCTAGACTAGGCTGACATGTGGTTTGATAACCAGGGCTCTTGTGCTCTAAACTAATGTCTGAAATAAATTCAGAAGCAGCACTTCTGAGCAAATGAGCTATCTCAGCAGAGGGTCAGATTCTTAGGCTTCAGACCATGTGTCTCTCTTGTATTGTTTTGCCCTGATGCTTTGTAACATCTCATTCTTAAACACTGCTAGGAGCACAGTACGCAGCCAGTCCTATCTTAATTCCATGGATCCTGAACGGCTTGTCCAATGCCCTTATGATAAGAACCACCAGATCAGAGCCTGCAGGTTACCTTACCACTTGGTGAAATGCAGAAAGGTAAGGGGGGGGAGAGTATTGGTTGGGTACCACAAATAACTTCTCTTCTTAAAATGGCCTTGCACATCTTGGATTTGTAGGAAATGGTTGAAGTGTGTTAATTCACCACAGAAGAATGAGCTACCCTGGCTCCTATGGGTGAAAGCAAGCAGAAATCTAATTACACTTTGTGCATTGGCTCCCTTTTCAAAAGCAGAGTACTGTATTTTTCGCCGTATAGGACGCACTTTTCCCCCTCCAAAAATGAAGGGGAAATGTGTGTGCGTCCTATGGGGCAAATGCAGGCTTTCGCTGAAGCCTGGAGAGCGAGAGGGGTCAGTGCGCATCGACCCCTTTTGCTCTCCAGGCTTCAGGAAGCTATCCACAAGCCTTGGGAGCCCGGTGGGAGTTCCTGCCAGGCTCCCTAGGCTTACGGATAGCAGCCTGCATCCCGAAGCCTGGGGCGCGCGGAGCAGCGCGCCCCGGGCTTCGGGCAGATATCCGCAAGCCTGGGGAGCTTGCGGATAGCAGCATGTTCTGGGGTCGGGGGAAGCTCGGGCTTCCCCAGCCCCACGCCTGGGGGGGGGAATAATTTTTTTTCTTTATTTCCCACCCACCCAAAACTTGGTGCGCCCTATGGGCCAGTGCGTCCTATAGGGCGAAAAATGTGGTAAGTTAGCTCTGATCTGAGGTTATGTGACATGTTGAACATCCAAACAGATGTAAACAACTTCAAACAAAATTGTACAATGAAGCCATTTGAGCGAGTCTAGAGTCTCCTGTTTGGTACACATGTTCTTCTATTGGAAGGACTCTTAATTTTAACAATTTTGTTTTTGTGACCTTGCAGTGAGATATTGTGTGGTTTTTAATTCTGATAACATGCCCCGTGGTAGCATCTTGGTATCACACCTATATCAGTGTGACCACCAGAGTTGCACAGCACCAGCAGAGTAGTCTAGCAAAGCTTCAGAGTCTTCTCCCTTTCGAGCGGTCAGCCTTTCCAGAGTCAACAGTGAAGGAAACTCCTTGACCACAACACAGTTCAGTGTTATGCGTTTTATTGCTTGAAGACACAAGGCAATTCAAACACACTATATACATAAAGTTAAGAGATGCTCGTGCATCATAAACTATGCTATAGTAAGTTGGTCTTAGAAATTAAACTGAAGAGATTCAAATATACAAAGAGGTCCACATTTGAGGAGAGATGCACCACTGCCTTTTGCTGCTGAATGCAGCCTTGGCTTTATAGCTGGCAATGCACAGACACACATTCTTTGGAGAAAGGGAGATGGAGGAGTCCTGCCAAAGGCCTGTGGCCTTGAACTGTTTCCAGAGGCCCACCACAGCTGGCATCCTAACTCTGAACAGAAATCAGACATGGGGGAAGACACAAACCAAGCAGTTAGTGCAATTCTGCACATATTTGCAAATTACACCAGCACTCCATTAATCCTCTCCAAAGTAAAGTCAATCCAGATTTAGGTATTCTAGCCTAGCAGTCCTAAAAATAAAAAAGGAACTATTCTTCACAAAGTCCACAATGGTTTTTCTGGGGTGGGGGCTTACTAACTGGCACATCTGTTCATAGTGAAATGACTTGTCCAAGTGGGATGTGGAGTAAAGAATCATTAACTTAACTGTTGTTGTTTTTTTCAAATATACACCCTTCGTATATATACATCCAGGAGTGGGGAACCTGTGACCCTCTAGATCAGTGTTTTTCAACCACTGTTCCGCGGCACACTAGTGTGCCGCGAGATGTTGCCTAGTGTGCCGTGGGAAAAATTGAAAAATTCGAAAGATTTAAAAATAAAGTATTTTATAATTTTTCATATTTCTGTTTACTTACTATTTCATAATAAAGTAATTATAAAATACTATCTTTGTGTTTATTGGATTCCTATTCAAGAGAATTACTTTATATAAAGTCAATATAGGCACAGAGTTAAATTTTTTAACATTTTCTAATGGTGGTGTGCCTCGTGATTTTTTTCATGAAACAAGTGTGCCTTTGCCAAAAAAAAGGTTGAAAAACACTGCTCTAGATGTTGCTGGACTCCAACTCCCACCATTCCTGCACATTGACCAGTGGCTGGGGCTGATGGGAGTTGAAGTCCTGCCACATCTGGACAGCCACATGTTCTTCACCCCTCTGTCTCCTCTCTGTGAATAGGACTGACCAGGTAGCGAGGTCTTCTAGGAAAGCCATGGTGGATCCAGTGAAGAATGCTGTGTTCAATTATTCTACTATTCTCTAGAGAGGAAGAGAATCTATAATCATCCCATATGAAGCCAACATGGATTAAGTGGGCTTGTTATCATAGTAGAGAACATCCCCTTTCATTCTTGAGTTCTGGGTGGGTTTGATGGAGGCCTAGCTCTGCACTGTTATCTTCTGACTTTTTCCCAGAACAACCAGAAGATCGCCAGAGAGCTCGCAACATGCCCCTACAACGCCCGTCACAGAGTTCCAAAGCAGGAGTTAAAATTGCACATTGCAACTTGTGAGAACAAAGTTTCTCCAGAGGTCTTGGAGGGTAAGAGAATTGCTCCTGTCTGCTCTAAAACCCAGTCGAGCATGCTGTGTGTATAATATTGATGCTGCTGGTGTAAGAAAACTTAATAACTTGCTATCTGTAGCAAAGCTCTGGGCACTCTAGGCTGGAGATACATGCTCTGATAGCACTGCATACTGAGCATTCAGCTGGTTGTAAATTTTTTTAACATTTTCTAATGGTGGTGTGCCTCGTGATTTTTTTCATGAAACAAGTGTGCCTTTGCCAAAAAAAAGGTTGAAAAACACTGCTCTAGATGTTGCTGGACTCCAACTCCCACCATTCCTGCACATTGACCAGTGGCTGGGGCTGATGGGAGTTGAAGTCCTGCCACATCTGGACAGAAAGCTGGGCTGAAAGAAGTAATGAATGGATTATACTGAGCAGGGTGGGTGTAACAAGCAGCATTCAGGTGGGGGGAGTGACTTGGCTGAGTGCCAGTCCATTTTCTTGAAGTGTGTGATGTAATGGAAGATGGGATTAAAATTCAAAACTAACTTGATTGAAGTACTTACTGGTCAAACAAGTGAAGGGAGAAGTGCTGTAAGGTAAGGATCTAGGTATTATGTCACAAACTATAAAACAGGAGGCTACAATCTATAATACATGAAGTAAAGGCAGGCCCGTAGAACTACATTAACAAATTGAAAAAGAATGAATATTGAAGGATGTCTGTGTTTCAGTTCATGTAGCATTTTTGAAAGTGCAAATTGGGTAGATTTGCCTTGAAATTCAAACTGAATTGAATTTATCACCGTTCCCTAGCCGGAAGGAGCAGCCTTTATGAATGTGGGGAACAGGTATGTTCCAGCTTAAAACTCTAGTATACAATGTATACCTTCTACTAAAAATGGTTGGTTATGCTTGATAGCCTAAAATAAAACTTCATATATGAAAACTGGGATATTTTGGTGGTGATAGCTATACACACAAACCACTGGTATAGCCATAACTCGCTGTAGCCCTGTTCATGCATTCAAAAGAGCCGATGAGGGTTTAACTGCATTCAAAAGAGCCGATGAGGGTTTAACTGAAAATGAGAGGCACAAATACAAGATGGGTGACACCTGGCTTGAGAGCAGTACATGTGAAAAGGATCTAGGAGTCTTGGTTGACCACAAACTTGACATGAGCCAACAGTGTGACACGGCAGCTAAAAAAGCCAATGCAATTCTGGGCTGCATCAATAGGAGTATAGCATCTAGATCAAGGGAAGTAATAGTGCCACTGTATTCTGCTCTGGTCAGACCTCACCTGGAGTACTGTGTCCAGTTCTGGGCACCACAGTTCAAGAAGGACACTGACAAACTGGAACGTGTCCAGAGGAGGGCAACCAAAATGGTCAAAGGCCTGGAAACGATGCCTTATGAGGAACGGCTAAGGGAGCTGGGCATGTTTAGCCTGGAGAAGAGGAGGTTAAGGGGTGATATGATAGCCATGTTCAAATATATAAAAGGATGTCACATAGAGGAGGGAGAAAGGTTGTTTTCTGCTGCTCCAGAGAAGCGGACACGGAGCAATGGATCCAAACTACAAGAAAGAAGATTCCACCTAAACATTAGGAAGAACTTCCTGACAGTAAGAGCTGTTCAACAGTGGAATTTGCTGCCAAGGAGTGTGGTGGAGTCTCCTTCTTTGGAGGTCTTTAAGCAGAGGCTTAACAACCATATGTCAGGAGTGCTCTGATGGTGTGCTAAGCACCCACAACGAAAAATTTGTGGGTGCTCAGGCACCCAGAGTGCCCTATAGTTGGCAACCCTGACCCCAGGTATGCTCACTCCACCCCTGGCCTCCCCATGTTTAAGCAGGAAAGTCTGAAAAGATGCACCTGATGTGAACACACAAACACAATATCAAAGCATGGAGCAGCCATCTCTGAAACTAGAACTAACTTCCAAAACCAAGATGCCTTAACTTTTTTCTTTTCTTAATACTTTGACAGTCACTTCAAGCAGAGGTGATCCAAAGAACAGAATCAAAGAGGTGACAGCCTGGCAGTGCCCCCCTCCAGAAGAAGACTGGGAGGCTGGTGAGTTGTTGTTTTTTCTTCCACTTGTGCAAAAACACACTTTCCGGGTTGCACCACCGGGTTGCTGAATTTGAGTGTGTTTGGCTTATTAAAAGAAAGCTGCATTAGAATATCCCCTCCCCGCCCCCGAACCTTCTAACATGCTTAACCTGGAGGCACCAGCTTGGCACTTTTGTAAGGAACTGGGCCTCTTTGGCAGAATTATCATTAACGAAGAAGCCCTGCTGAATCAGACAAAGTGTCTAGCATTGCACCCCAGCCTGCTAGATGCTGCCGGAAATGATGACAATGGCACCTCATCCAGTGTCTGTCCCATGTTCTGCCTCAGAACGTGAAAGTTTACCAGAGGAAGAAATTGCAAAGTTCATTGTCCTGGTCAGATTGTTCCGAATTATTCTAGTGACCTGCTGCTGAGGAGGCAGAATGCATAGCTTCTTGTAACTTTTATTAAAGCATTGGAGCAGTTTATTACATAAGGGCAATACTATAACAAGACGGCCCCTGGTCCTTGGGCTTGCAATCAAAATGACACAAGTTATAAGGAAATACATGTGGACTCCAGAGGAAAACAAATAATATAATCTCAGGCTTAAATTTTTACCGTATAGCATAAAGGTAAAGGGACCCCTGACCGTTAGGTCCAGTCACGGATGACTCTGGGGTTGCGGCACTCATCTCACTTTACTGGCCGAGGGAGCCGGCGTACAACTTCCGGGTCATGTGGCCAGCATGACTAAGCCACTTCTGGCGAACTAGAGCAGCGCACGGAAACACATCGTAATTATTAAATGACCAGCTGGAATCAAAATGGTTATTGGAAAGAGGGTCTCAACAGGGCTGGTCTCCCCAAAGAGCTTAATAGGAGTAGCCCTGTTTCCAAGGTCTGCTCTGGTACAGCCTAAGAACTGAAGTCTAATTTTGTTTTCTTCTGTCCTCCCCATTACCTTGTTAATCACAGTGTAGTACCTGCAAAAATGTAGCTGATTTATAAATAGAATAATGCTGTAGTAAGGGCAAATGAGGGTGTTACAACCATTTGCAGTCCCAGAGCAAATCTGTAACTTTTCTTCAAGGAAACAATTCATACGGGTATTCCAAAGAACATCAGGAAAACCCCACTGCTCTGAAGTGTCACTTGATCCAATTTAGACTCTCCTGAAAGCCCATCCAATCTGGAGTCTGAGTACCCCTGTAATATGCGAGTGACTATGGCAAGGGGGGTGAAATGCCCCGTTATGAGAACTCTGCCTAATGATTTTGTTACTCTCTCCTAAGATGCTGCTGAATGTCCTGCTCCTCCTTTTGTTTTTGGCACCAGGTAAGACTACATAGGTTCCTTTGTAGCCTCATGAAAATCTAATTGTATTCAGAGCCTGGCTAGCAAACACCATGGATACAAATGCCAATGGAGCAAAAATGCCAACAAAGAGGATACAGTGGTGCCCCGCAAGACGAATGCCTCGCAAGACGAAAAACCCGCTAGACGAAAGGGTTTTCCGTTTTTGAGTTGCTTCGCAAGACAAATTTCCCTATGGGCTTGCTTCGCAAGATGAAAACGTCTTGCGAGTCTTGCGATTTTTTTCGCTCCCCCCCCTTTTTCTAAGCTGCTAAGCCGCTAATAGCCTTTTAGCAGCTAAGCCGCTAAACCTTTAATAGCTGCTAAGCCGCTAATAGCGCTAATCCACTAAGCCGCTAATAGGGTTGCTTCGCAAGACGAAAAAACCGCTAGACCTAGACGAAGAGACTCTCGGAACGGATTATTTTCGTCTTGCGAGGCACCACTGTATCCCCCTCTCACCTCTGGAGGCACTTCTTAAGACACATTCACTTCCAAGAGTAAATAATCACCACTCACTTTTGCTATTAATAAAATAGGAATCTACTCAAGTAACTTTGCTGTTGTGCCTATTTCCCACTTGGCAGCATAGGGAAAGTCAATGTAGCAACCATCGTATGTTCTTAGACAGGCTTCCTCATCCTCGGCCTTCCAGATGTTTTGAGACTACAATTCCCATCATCCCTGACCACTGGTCCTGTTAGCTAGGGATCATGGGAGTTGTAGGCCAAAAACATCTGGAGGGCTGAGGTTGAGGAAGCCTGTTAGACTTCAACTCCCGTTGGTCCCAGCCAACATAACCAAAGGTCAGGGGTGATGTGAGTTCTAGTACTACAACAATTTGGAGGACACCACATTGGCTACATCTGCTTTAACATATAGGTGGGCTGATGTTACTTTTTACACACTGTCAGGCTGTAGTACAAACCTAAAAAACATTTTTTACTGGAAATTTATCAGTTCAGCTCTCAAATATATTTCATCAGTGGCTTTGCTCTCTGACAGAACTGGCTTTTGTGACTATATTTAACACTTATCTTGCCTCTCCATACACTGAAGAGGACTTGTTATTTTAAGATGAAGAGGACTCGTTCTTTTAAAATAAATGACTAAGGACACTATACACATAAGCCATGGAAAGGTTTAAATGGTTAGCTGGGGAACTTTGACAGCGTTAGTTACTGAACACAGACTCGTAAACAGATGTGCAACTTTAGACACATAAACATAGGATTTCACCTACAGAGAACAACAGCAATCAGTATGTTTTTACCCCTTTCCAGCTCTGCAACTAGAGGTGCTTCTATAGTAATCCCTGTATGGAACTGCTGCCTTTTGTTTACTTTTTTGAACAGAGGATCCACTTCACCAATTGTACAGCGGTACATCTAGATGCGAACAGGATCCGTTCCAGAGCCTCGTTCGCATCTAGAAGCAAACTTAACCCGTGTACGCACATTTGCGCGTGCCACGTTTCGGCGCGTCTGCACATGCACGTGACATCATTTTGAGCGTCTGCACATGCGCAAGTGGCGAAACCCGGAAGCAACGCACTCTGTTACTTCCGGGTTGCCACGGAGCGCAACTCAAACGCGCTCATCCCGAAGCACGTTCAACCCAAGGTATGACTGTAGTTGCATTCCAGTGTTCTTTTGTTGTCCCCTGCATGGTTCTTCCATCTCTCAAACCTGATTTGTGGTCACTTTTTATGGTAGTTGGATTAGCTAGTGTTGCAATGTGGACGGGTAAAGTTCTATTAAGGCTTTCCCAGTCCACAGTGCCTTTATCTGAAAGCTGCTGCTTTGTAAGTTCTGGCCATTTCATTGCTTCCTCCTCCCACATCCTGGAGGATTACAGGTAGAATGCTTCTCAGTACCCCAAATGTCAATTCCTGTTTATGCAGGAGGAGTGTAAGACTTTTTTATGCAAGGGAAATAAATAATGCCCCAGCTCTTATCCTGCTCACCCCAAATTCTAACCCCCTGCTTGCAGGAGGTGTCAGAATCTAGGAATTGTGTGCCACTAACCCTGGGTGTGATTGCAGAAATAGAACTTTGGATCTATTTTGAGAGACTTGGATTTATGAGAATGCTGAGACTCCTAACCTCTCCCCCTCCCAATGACCTGGCAAATTTACAGCACCTGCTTATCTAGTTCACACCATTGTCCAAGGCCAGTCTAAAACTCCAGCACTTAAAGTAACATTGTTCAGCTGTGCCTTCATAAGACTCTCCACTAGGGCTGGGCGAGATCTGGTTTTCAACATCATGATATATCACCAGCTAAATATCCCGATATCTCACAATATATATTTGCGGCAACAGAGGGCCTTGCTGTGCCTCCCCGCAGTGGCAGAGGGTCCTGCCGTACCTCCTCACAGCAGCCGAGGGCCTTGCCGAGGCTCCCTGCAGTGGTGGAGGGCCTTAAAATGTAAGGAAGTAGTAGATTTAATAAAAATATTAAATAAACTTCCATATAATAAATTTAATATTTTAATATTTAAAAGCCCCACTGAGTTCAACTAAACTTACTTCTACTTTCCTGGGAGCAAGCCTCATTGAATTCAGTAGGGCTTGCTTGTGAGTAGAAATACATTTGCTTGCACTGCTTACTGAAAAACACCCTCTCCCATCATCTCACATAGCACCCAACCTCCCATTTCAGCATAAAGCAGCCTGCTAAATCTTCTCCCCTCCACCCTCCCCCAGAAGGGCCCCATCCCACCAATCTCTCCCTTTTTATCAAAGGGAGGGAGGGCAAGCAGGCAAAAGGATAGTTTCCTTTAAATAATAAAAAAGCCTTCCCTTTTAATATGGAGGAAAGAGAGCCAGTGTGGTGTAGTGGTTAAGAGCGGTAGTCTCGTAATCTGGGGAACCGGGTTCGCGTCTCCGCTCCTCCACCTGCAGCTGCTGGGTGACCTTGGGCCAGTCACACTTCTCTGAAGTCTCTCAGCCCCACTCACCTCACAGAGTGTTTGTTGTGGGGGAGGAAGGGAAGGAGAACGTTAGCCGCTTTGAGACTCCTTAAAGGGAGTGAAAGGTGGGATATCAAATCCAAACTCTTCTTCTTCATTTAAGGGGAACCAACAACATAAACACCACCAGAAAACTCTTCCCCCTCTTTTTTCACTGGTGGGGGTGAGTGTGAGGAAAGAAAGAAGTGCTTTCCTTTTCTTTGTTTAGTTCTTTAGTTCTGTGGGAGGTCCCTCCTGGATTGTCGCAGGCTTTGCATAATTAGCTGAGCTCTAAATGGAAAGATACCCTGAAAACGAAAGTCACTGCTTTGTGTGAGGGTTTATCCTCAAACAGAACTTTGGTTCCCTGCATATTGCCTTGTTGAAACACTTATCACAATGTTATTTCAATACCAGTATAGCGATTTATCACACAGCCCTACTCTCCACCCCCTCTTACCATCACCCAACCAGAATTTTTTTTCTGGGGGGACGCAGGGGGATGCATACCCCTAAACATTTTAATAATCTTTGTACTTTTGTTCATTTACTGTATTTATTTTTCCCGATTTGAACTACAAAATGGTGATTTTCTTGAGTCAAAATGAGAGTACCCCTAAACATCTTTTTTTAGAAGAAGAAACTCCTACCTGGCTTCCTGCTTTCGTTTGCTTGTCTGATATTTGGAGTTGGACTCCTTAGCTGTTTCTTGGGGGGGGGGGTATGGTGGTAAAGTATTAAGATTAGGTAAGGCAGATTTATTCTTTTATGATGCCTGCATTATGGGGTGAGTATTTGGCGGGATTTGCCTTGATCTGAATGTAGTGCCTGAGCCACTTGGAATACCATGTAATATGGGGATTAACAGAGGATCCTGGTGGTGAAGAATGAATTCTTGGCTCCAACCCTGGAATCTCCTGATAATTGGGGTTTATTGATTGGTCTTCCCCCAAGCCACCCTAAACCTGGGTGGTCATGGCAGCTTTGGGGGGGGGAGGAAGTGGTGGTGGAAGAGAACTGATCTGGGAAACCAGGGGGGAGGGGAGCTTGTTGCAGCAGGAGGTGGAGACACCCTGCTTCATCTCTGCCTCTTGGCCTCGCTCCTCTCCCGCTTCAGGACTTCTCTCTGCCACAGACTCTCCCTGCTCACTAAAGCCTGTTACCTCTTCAGCTTCCGATCCCACCACCTCCCAGGCTTCTTCACCTGACCACTCATTGTCCCACCACCAAAACCCTGGGCTCTGAGCCTTCCTCCCTTAGGGGGTTCCCCAGCTGGTGCCTCACACCATTCCTCTGAGTCCAACCAGTCCATGACAGATCCAGGATGGAGTTTACTGTCCCTCCATGACCATCAAATAGGAAAATCTGATTACCAGGGAGGAAACAATTAGCATTCCCAACAGAGCTGTGTCAACCCTTTTTCTTGCTGCCACTGCAGAAATATTTGCAGGGGCAGCGGCTGATCTGGTATCCAGACCAAGTGTTAGCCACCCTTGCCTTGAGCTAGGTATACCTGTTTGGTCAGCTAAATAAAGAAAAGTCCTCTTTGAAAGCTGCAGGATTTGTTTATAATGGGTATGTCCTTTCATTTTCTTTTTCTTTAATATAGCTACTCTGGTGAGAGGAGCTAGAAATTCACATCTTCCTTTTTCCTTTTTTGAACTGTAAGTATTTTTTTAAGTACAGTAGAAAACAAGTAAAACTTTGAGGAACTCATCTTCTGGAGTGTTAAACCTGTTCAATTTGGAGAGTGAGAACAGTTGATTAGCCCTTGCTGTGCCTGGATGAGAAATCCTTGTATTAATATCTTGCTCTTATGGGACCCTTCTCACTTCCAACTTCATCAAACTTGGCACAACTGATGCTACACGGATTCAAGAATGTATTTGGGTACTATAACCAGCTTACTTGTGAGATCGTCTTATCCCATATGTGCCTAATCAACTGCTTTGATCTGCAGTTTTTTGTTTAGATAAGCCTACCTAGCTAGGTGGAATGTTTGCAAGGTGCTTTGATCTGTTTTTAGCTTATCACTGATTTTAATTATTGTTTGAATGTTTTAAATAGCTGTTAACTGCTTTTAATGATGTGACTTTATTCTTGTTGTGAACCATTTTGAGGTGCTTACAATTACATTTTATGAAATATTTTTTTTGTCCTTCTCTCCAGAGGCTCTCCTATATTTTATCAGCTCTGGAAATCTACTGCAAAGGTTTGGGGACCATCCTAATCTACTCTGTCAGGCTACCAATGGCAAAAAAAATACTCAAAATGTCACTGCAAGATCACCACAGGGATTCTCCAGAAGGAGCAACAGAATACATACCTTTTTAAAACGCAGAAATGCTTTTAAAAATACTTTTCCAATAAAATTTCTAGAAATCCAGTTGCCTGCAATTTCCCCCTTATTCTCTTCCTCCAAGTGGCTAAGCCTGCAAGCATGGTCCTTTTATCCTCACAATGGCTCCATGATATTTGGAGTGACTGGCCCTAGGCCATCTAGTGAGCTTCATATATGCATGAGATTTGAACTTTTCTCACTGGTCCTAAGTTCAACACTCTAACCCAGGGGTCAGCAAACTTTTTCAGCAGGGGGCCGGTTCCACTGTCCCTCAGACCTTGTGGGGGGCAGGACTAAATTGGGGGGGGGCATTAACAAATTCCTATGCCCCACAAATAACCCAGAGATGCATTTTAAATAAAAGCACACCTTCTACTCATGTAAAAACACCAGGCAAGCCCCACAAACAACCCAGAGATGCATTTTAAACAAAGGGACACCTTCTATTCATGTAAAAACATGCTGAATCCCAGACTGTTCGCGGGCCGAATTTACAAGGTGATTGGGCTGGATCTGGCCCCCAGGGCCTTAGTTTGCCTAACCATGCTCTAACCAATATACCACATTATTCTGGCACTCCCTTACTTAGGTAAAGGTAAAGGGACCCCTGACCATTAGGTCCAGTTGTGACCGACTCTGGGGTTGCGGCGCTCATCTCGCTTTACTGGCCGAGGGAGCCGGCGTACAGCTGGTCATGTGCCCAGCATGACTAAGCCGCTTCTGGCGAACCAGAGCAGCGCACGGAAATGCCAGTTACCTTCCCGCCGGAGCGGTACCTATTTATCTACTTGCACTTTGACGTGCTTTCGAACTGCTAGGTTGGCAGGAGCAGGGACCGAGCAACGGGAGCTCACCCCATCGTGGGGATTCGAACCGCGACCTCTGATCACTCACTTTCCAATAGAGGTCTATGTATTTCACAAAGTGGAATGAATTCTCAAAGTGGTAATCCCCAACAGCAGGAAGCAGTATGAGAATGACCTAAAACAGGCATGTCCAACAAGTAGGGTGTGATCTACGATCCAGTATAAAAACTGGCAGTGATCTATCACCCAGGGATGGGTGTAGGGTGGGCGGGTGCACACCACCAGCTGCTCCCAATGGGTGCAGGGATGGGTACAGGGTGGGCAGGTGGGCGCTGGCTGCTTCCCCTGAAGGGGCAGGGGGTGGGGGGCAGGCGATGCCGATCCTGCCTCCCTCCTCAAACCAGCTGGGCTGCAGAGCTCTTTTCGTGCTTTGGAGCTGCTGTCTTTCTGCTTATTGAGGAGCGTGCTGTGCTCGGGGCGCCTTGGGCCCGCCATCGACCAAGAGCAACCCCCTGATCGACTGATCAATCAGGATCGACGACATGTCTTACCTAAAAGATTTGCAAGAATTGCTTGAGGCAGGCTAGAGAACTCCTGCCTTTTTCATTAAGTGCAATCAAGAGTAAGCCAAGACACATTTTAGAGATCTGTGATAGTTTGCAGTGACCTAGTACCTCTAAATACTTGGTATCTAGAAAGAGTCGGACTGTCATGACAAGCTGGGTATGGGCCAAAGGAAAGACATACATGGGGCAAGCAGCCCTGGAATATACAATGGATCGGATTCAGCTAAGTAGTTGCACTAGCAGGAACCAGCACCGAACCTGCTAGCTTAATGAGACTTGCTTTCCAAATCATTTCTGGGGGTGCGGATAAGGGGAAAGGGGGGATCATTTTGTCAGGCAAGCAAAAATGCTTGTGCTAATGGAAAATTTGTGTTAGTGCAACACTGAATTCCTACCAATATGTTTCTGTTAATCTAATCCAGCCATGATGGGTGATTGCAGAGGAAAAGCTTGGGTCTGTATAACTAACCTTTTTCATAACACAGAAACACTGAGGTGCTAACCACAAGAGAATAAGGAAGACATCTGTCCGGATAATTTAGCTGATGATGAAGCTGTAACAAAGTTGGGAGGTGGTATCTGATTCGAGACAAGTGGAACTTGTAAGGGCACCAATTTGTGCTGTCCCTTAGAAAAACAGAGGAAACAAGTGTATGAAATTTCTTCACCCTGAAAACCTAAATAGCACACACAATGCTCATCGCCAATCTCCATCCCAAGATAATGTAAGAGAAAGGACCACTGGATCCTGGTAGTGATGAAGTGCTTTGCAACTGAAGCTGTGTCCACACTGAGACATTAATGTGTGCATGGGTCACTGTTTCAGTGTGCATGCTTGTGCACCTTCACACACGAGTGCCTTCAACTGTGCGCCACCAAAATATGTTTCCCATTCTCCCACCGCAGTGCATTATGGGATGCATTTGTTCTTCACCCCTCAATGAATGGTGTTATAGAAATAGGGGGGATCCACCTAAACACTAAGACCGAATAAATACTAGGATTTTGATTGAATGTGATATGGATTAAAGTACAAAACTGTGTCAGACAGGGAATTCAGGATATTCCTGGGCTGCTGTATGCAAACCAGCCTGGCTGGTTAGGGGAAGAGCAGACCTGTTAGCATTACAAAAAGGTGTTGATGGGCCATAGAAGGATTCTTTGGCCTGGGGAATCAGATGTCACAAAGGTTGCTGGGGTAGCTGTGTTTGAGGGACAGGAAAAGGGAGATTTGAAACAAGGGTTTCTGGAGAGAAGGAGGAGGAAGTAAGGGGGAGATCCATTTTGGAGGAAAGTTCCCTGCACTTCTGTGAGCCATGCTGTAAGATCTGGACTCCATCCATGCAGACTGTAAATAGGTGACTAAACCCTACTTCTTAAAACACGCCAGTCTCAGACATGTCTTCTATTCTCCAAAGGACACGAACTCTGTGTGTGTACCTGTGGCCTCATGAAATCTGGCCACTGCTTGGGGGAGAAAGGGGCAGGCTTTTGTAAGAGTACTTTCCTGCTCAACATACGTTCCAGAAACCCAAAGTCCATTATGTGCATAGGCATTTGTTTACCTGTTCATATACCAGATTTGCACAAAAGAACAGACTTTCTTCCTTTTCTCCGGGGAGTTAAGTCCATGAATGTTCCAGCTTAATAGTTGCAGAGACATGATGTATTTAGATTGCTTCTCCTCCAACTGCTCCCAATAAATCCTCTTGTTCTGACGGTGGTATCACTTTCTCTAACTTGTCCAGTCCCAAAGGTAGTGGTGCTTTGTCTAGTATTCCTGGTCTTAGGGCTCTTAGCTCTTCTTCACCTTCTTTTTGCAGGTCTTCTCCGTGGTCTCTCAGAAATTTTTCTTTATCCTCCACTGATCTTATTTTAAACTTTTTACCTTTAAAGGTAAAAGATAGTCCTTGGGGGAATTCCCACCTAAAAATGGTTCTATTACCTTTCAGCAGGGTCACCAAATCTCCGTAGTTAGACCTCAGGTTCAAAAGATATTTCCTGCCTGCTGCACTTGCAAGGGCAAATTTTAATTTTCAATACAACTGTTTTGTGAAAAAGAAGTTCTGCACAAAATAGCTGCTTTACAAATAAAAATAGTAAGAATGTACCTTCAGCAACAGCAGGTGAGAAAAGAGCAGGCTGCATCCTTTCTTTTGGGCTGATGGAAACAAAATAGAAGTAGGGGATATGACACTCCGGAGGCACCCAGAAAAATGTCACCACATGGGGGCGGGGAGTCACCCACACAATTTGCTTCAGTGCATCCACAGTCATGCAACATGCAATTTTATATTGGATTTTCTTCCCTTACATGATTATTTGTGGATCAGGAAAACCTGAATTTAATGAGGAGGGAAGTGCAGACTGTCAATCGGATGAGGGTGTCATATGGGTGCTGCAAAAAGACTAGCAGCTTCAAATCCACATTAAACTGCATTGAGGATGAGTGCTTAGAATTATTTAGCTTTTAACTCATTCGAAGTATTCGTGTTGGAATGAAGATGTTTAGGAGAGATTGTATGCACTGTATTCAGTAGGACTTCAGACTTCAGATATGCTCACATTACCACCTACTCTGCGCCCAGTGCTAGTTTTGGAAGCTGCATTCACACAACTTTAGCCGTTATCCATATTGATCCTATAGTTTGACCAATACTGCCATTTCTCAAACCAGCCTCAATTTAACATTAAACTGCATTCACTTCACAAATGTTTGAGACAGCTGCAGCACATGCCCAGGTGAACATACATGTGCAGGTAACAATAGAAGTTGGGGTGGTTGCAGGGGGAAGGATCAAAAAGGTCATTTGTGTTAGATGAAGACATTCCCCACCATGCAAAGACAGCATGAAATGCACTGTGGGAGTGTGTGTGACTTTGATGCATCTAAGCCGCTAACATGAACATACTCTTAATTAAGATTTAATTAAGTCTAAATTCACCCATTCAATCTTGAGAACAGAAGACTTTCACCAGACTCAGCCACCAAATTCTGCTGTTGCTGCTTCCATTTATCACATAAAAACTACCTTCTAACATCATGCTTTTGTCTTTGAACCAGTCACTTTTTTAGACTCAAAAGCACAACAAAAATCCCAGCAGCTTGTTCCAAGTTGCCTTTTTAGCTGCAAGTCCCAACTACTTCCCATCCAAAATTGTGTTAGGTCTTGCATCCAGTTCTTGGCTATCTGAGAATTTAGAATCTGGGTGAGAATCTGCCAAACCTCTAGACAACACTCCCACCATGTGGCCAGAGGAAACTGTTTGTCATTGATTAATCAAATGTGAGTGGTCAATCTAATTCAACAACTCTCTAAAGTAAAAGACTTTTGTTTAAATGTAATTCTTCTTACAAAGTCCTCCTGTCTATGAGGCATTTGCATTTTAAAATTGCACCACCAGCAGGCTCTCTGCAAGAGAGAGTGAGCATTCTCAAAACCAGTGAAGTGGAAAAGAGGAAAATTACTGAACGCAGACAGCAACCCCCCTGTAATTTTACTTTGACATACGCCTGTCAAGGTTCTTTCCACGTTTCAGATTTTATTGAATTGCAACACAAGCCTGAGAGAAAGTGCACCACAACAAGAGAGCAATTCACTCTCCATGGCCAATCTTTTCATTTGCTCAGGGGATTTATCTGTAACCTTGAGAAGGTCAAAACAATAGCTCA